AGAACGGTGAACCCTGAAAACGAGACGACGAGAAAGACGCGAGACATGCGCCGGGCCAGTTGGATGCCTGTGCGGCCCGCCGTCCCAACCAGGCCATTCTCTTACTGGTCGCCGTGATCACCGCCGCCGCGCCGCAAGCCATCGTTCAACTACACTTGGACGCACTGGGGGGGTTGATTAGACAGCCCAGTCCAACATTACACACTGGTGCGATTAAGGGCGGGGACTCAAACTTATATACCTATGCGCTGCGCTCCCACACCGTTAGGATGTTCTTGACCGAACGACAACCATCCCATCTCCGTCACTGAAGTTCGTCGAATCTTTGTCGTGTCGGCTCTTCACTGTGGTTCGGCACCAAGGAAAACGATCGTGGAGGTGGCGCATTCCCCCGTCCCCTTATCCGGGAAGAGTTCCGGGTCGACCTGTTGGCTACGACCGGACCCCCTTTTCCGACCTTCACCATGGGCGGCGACGACAGACGACCGAGTCTCTCCAGCATGGAGCAGACCAGTACCAAGGCCAAGTTGGGTGCAGTTTCGGGGGTCTATATCCCCGTCTGTCTCAATATCTTCAGCATTCTCATGTTTCTCCGTTTTGGCTGGATTCTCGGTCAAGTTGGGCTTTTGGGCATGCTTGGTTCGTCAGCTACTAACACAGACGCGCTCACCCCATCTAAGCCCACACTAACAAAAAAACCACAGGGCTACTCGTTACGGCTTATCTTGTAGACTTCTTGACAACGCTCTCTCTGTCTGCTATAGCTTCAAATGGCGAAGTCAAGGGCGGAGGCGCCTACTACGTAATCTCGCGGTCTCTTGGCCCCGAGTTTGGCGGTTCCATCGGGATGCTCTTCTACCTCGCTCAGGTTCTCAACACCGCTCTCAACGTTGTTGGTCTCATTGACTGCATAAAGCTGAACGTCGGGGAATCTTTTCCCCAAGACTACTGGACTGTCTACATGCTCCAAACCTTGGCTTTGCTGCTCTGTGCTGGATTGTGCTTGGCCGGGAGCGGCATATTTGCCAAGGCTAGCAATGCGCTGCTTGTCATATTGAGTCTCGCCATTATAAGCATTCCAATATCTTCCGCGTTTAAGTCTCCTTTTCGAGATGATGGACTTGGTGTACGCTTCACCGGCTTTAGTATCGAGACGTTGGTGGACAACTTTGCTCCCCATACAAAAAGCGAGTCTTTCAAAGGATTTGAAACTTTTCGAGAGGTCTTTGCCATCCTGTTCCCAGCCACGTCAGGAATTTTCGCTGGGGCTTCAATGTCTGGAGATCTGGTGAATCCTAGCAAAGACATCCCGAAGGGAACTCTCTGGGCGATGATGACCACCTTCATTGCGTACCTGGTTGTAGTCTTCTCCATGGCTTCCACCACAACGCATGCTTCATTTCTCAACAACACAAACATCATCTCGGTCACGAGCTTGTCTCCACCTTTGATCCTTGCGGGAGAGTGTGCCGTCACCTTCTTCTCCGCCGTGATGGGACTCATCGGTGCTGCCAAGCTCATGCAAGCCCTGGCCAGGGACAAGTTGCTGCCCGGTCTGCTGCCATTCTCGAAAGGAACGAAGAGGGCTGATGAACCAATTCAAGCCATTATTCTCACATATGTGCTTGCCCAGATTGCCATGTTCGCCAATTTGAACCAGATTGCGACTTTAATCTCCATGGGCTATCAGGTGAGCACCCGCTTACTCAGTCTGGACGAAGCTGTTTGGGACTAACAGAGAGCAGATGACCTTCTTCGTCATGAACCTGGCATGTTTCCTACTCAAGATAGGATCAGCTCCCAACTTTCGGCCTGCATTCAAGTTCTTCAGTTGGGAAACAGCTTTCGCTGGCAGCATCATGTCTGCAGCGGCCATGTTCTTCATCGACCAGACTTACGCTGCTACTGCAGTCTGCTTGCTAATCTTTCTCTTTTCCCTGATTCACTATCTCAGTCCACCAAAGCGATGGGGCGACGTCTCACAAAATCTCATCTACCACCAAGTGAGAAAGTACTTGCTGCGATTGCGGCCGGAGCATATCAAGTTTTGGAGGCCCCAAATCATTCTGCTCATCAACAATCCTAGGAGCCAAACTCGACTGATTCAATTTTGCAACTCAGTAAAGAAAGGCGGTCTCTATATTCTCGGCCACGTCATTGTGACGGACGATTTCAACAGCGGCGTTCACGAAGCCAGACTTCAACAGGCAGCATGGACAAAGTACATCTCAGAGTTTTCCCGTATCAAGGCCTTCGTGCAGCTTACAATGTCCCCAACCATTACCTGGGGTATCCGAAACTTGATTCTATCGGCTGGGCTAGGGGGCATGCGGCCAAATATTGCCGTCATGGGATTTTACAATATGGACGAGCTGCGAGATTCTCGACCTTCTTTCCAGGTCCCGAAAGCACCGAGCTCGTCGAGTGTGAACGCCCGCCCTCAGGCCAAAGCCAAAGAGAGGCCTCCGCGCAGGAGACGAGGCGACACATCCGCGCGTCTGATGGAAGGCATGCTGCCTACGGATGTGATGAAGACAGAGGGCATGATGAGTGTGACCAGTTACATGACTATGTTGGAAGATCTCGCTCTGAGGTACAAACTGAACGTTGCAATTGGCAAAGGTTTTGAAAATCTGGAAACGCCGCGCAAGGACAAAGCCAACGTCAAGAAACATCTCGATCTCTGGCCGATACAAATGTCGGCAGAAGTTCTGTCAGATGGCAAAAGTGTCTTGACAACCAACTTTGACACATGTGAGCAGGATTACTGTTTCAATACGAATTTCGCTGATACATTTGCAGATACCTTGATTCTCCAACTAGGCTATATCCTCTACAGCGTTCCGACATGGCACAAAGTCTACAATATTCGCGTCATGGTGTTTGTGGAGTACGAAAGTGAAGTGGAAGAAGAAAGGGCGCGAGTCAAGGCCTTGCTAGATAAGCTGAGGATCGAGGCTGAGGTCATCGTGTTTTGGCTGGCTTCCGGACAGCTCAATACGTATGAGCTGATCATTAACGGCCAAAGCAACGACCTCGAGTCTCAGATTATGGTCCACGATATACTAAAAGATGAAGAGTGGTGGGACGACCTGCAGAGGTTCCGAGGCCGTGAGCCAAATCTGAACTCAACCGAAGAGCTCACGTCTTTCGCGAATATCATCGAGTCAACGGCAGGGCGGCCTGGCGTGTTCAACCCGCATGTATCACTGGACGATATTGAAAGTGGACGGCGACCAAGTCTGGTGCACTTTGGGGAACTGCCCAGGAAGCCGACGGTTTCGAGGTTGTCCCGCCTTGGTGTCAGTGTTGGAATTCACACGTCTCACTTGGGAGATGAGGTCTTTGAAGACGCCTCTGGCTCCGACGGTGAGATGAGTGATCAAGAACAACAGCCATCTTGCCTCGATTCCGATTCTGAATTTGAACCTGGCAGCAGTGACTACAGCGAGGACGAGCTGCCAGAGGTCGACGCTCCTAGGCGGCCGTTGTTACTTGGGCGAGGACGAGGACGAAGCCAGAGCGATGACCTACTTACGAGTCCATCGAAACAAAAAAGGAGCAAATCGAATAAGAGCGCTGCACCGGCAGCATCATACGGCACTATGGTGTCACAAGCTCGTTCTGAAGGCCAGGCGGGCCCAAGCCACGTGGGAAGAGTCGAAAACGTGTCAGCGCCTCCAACTCCGCTGGAACGACCTGTGCTTGATCGAAACATATCTGCCCGTTCCATGGGCGGGTTTCGGTCGGCGGGCATCAACACTTACGATGCGACCTCGGGAAGTGTATCAGGGAAAGCGACCCCAGCAACAAGACCAACGCTCTCTCGACAATCATCAGCAGTGAGGTTCTCAAGTCGTCCAATGCCAGAGACCAGAACCGATGTGGAGGGTGCGTCTGGTCCGACAATCATGTTTGCAGACACCACCGAGGAAGAGACGCCGCGGGCGGAACAACCCGCATTCTCAAGACAGTCCTCTGCAGGACGGTTCTCCAGTCGGCCTGTGCCCGAGATGACGGTGACGGCGGCTGAAGAGTTTGAGCCGAATAGTACGTTTGCGGAACCCTCGAGCAGATCACGCAAAGCTTCGGTCGCGTCTACTGCAGATCTAGGCGACGTCCACATGAACATGGCGGAGCTTGTGGGACGCTACAGATTAGACTCGAGACCCGACGCAGACGGGCCCGGCTCGCCCTACTCGACGCAAGGCATCTCGCTCTCGTTCAACGATTTGCCATCGCGAGCGCAGCATGTCATCCTCAATGAGCTGATGCGGCAAAACAGCAGAGATACAGCCGTCATGTTCACCACGTTGCCCGTGCCCACAGAGGGGACTTGCCAGGATGAGCTGGCGAGCGTGCAGTATCTATCGGACGTTGAAGTCCTCTGCCACGAGCTCCCTCCCGTCATGTTGGTCCTGAGTAATAACATGACTGTCACGGTTGGGCTATAGTCTGAACTCGTGGTGGGGCAGTGTCTCAAATCCTGTGAGGGAGAACATCCATGATAAGGTCAAACCACGCGGGGGTTTATTGATACTTTGGCGTTTATTTTTTCCAGCGTGTCGGCGGCTTATGTCGGGGATCATCACCCGGAACAAAGGAATGTGGTGGTAAACTCTTTTGGGCCCGGCCACATTCCTCAGTGTCTTTGGCTGAAATGAGAAGCTATTCAACTAAGCATTCTTTGTCTGCCAGCGACCGGACCACCATGATGGGCTTTCGCCTGCAGCCTTTACAAAGAGTTTCCCTCGACGGTGCATAAGCAGCTTGAACTCTCGCCATCCAGGTTTTTCTTCCCCTACCTCGGATGCCTGTCAAGAGGAGTGGTTTTCATGGAAGCCTCTTTTGAAGCCATGGACATTAAACACCCGGCCCCGCCGGCATTGCCTTCCTCATGGACAATCCCTCAAACAGTCAACATGAATGATCATGGAAGGAAATCGACTTGGACCACACAATTGTCGCCGTACCTGAAAGGCCTCAAGATCAAGAACCTCATGACGTCTCCTAAATCACCAAAGTCACCTAAATCCCCAAAGTCGCCAAGGTTTCCACTTTCACCCAAATCGCCGAGATTCCCTCTATCACCCAAATCACCCAGAACGCTACCGCCAAAGCTTCTCGACGAGGACTCGTCATTTCGAATTATACATACGCCTGACAGGCCGGAGCGACCGATATCAAGACGGGCCATTCCGAATGACGAGCAATGCATGGAATTTCTCATGTCTTTGCAGAGACAAGAGGAACACAAGAGGGGAGGCGTCAAGACGGGCCTCAAGATGTGGCCGTACCCGGACGAGCAGGAGGCCGAGGACCGTAGGTATCTGCGGAGCGTGAGGGTCGAAAGTGTTCACTTGGAGGAAGCTCGTCTCGCGAGGACAAATTCCTCCGGCCCGGCCAAGGTTGTGGAAGTGGGCAGAAGCTCGACCAAGTCGACGATGGCATCACGACGATCATACCATACCAGCACACCCAGTGTTAGCAACGCAGGGGACGCCGAAGAAAAGCCCCGATGCGGCCTTACAGTGGCCGTCGGTGTTGACCCCCTCTCTCCACCGCCGACTCTGTCCCGCAGTCAATCAAGGCTAAGCTTTCACACGCCAAAAGCCAATACATCTCGCTGGTCCGATGACAGCATCGAGTCCCTCTTCTCGTCGAGGGACATGGATTCGCCATGCCCTCAGCGAGTTACTGTCCGCTCATCCTCCGAGGCGCTGTCACCCACTGTCGTCGGGGACGAGTCTGTTGGCTCATACTCGCCTCCCCTTCTGACGCCAGTGAAAGACCGGCCTGCTACACCGTTCACGGACCCTCGTCTGCGGGCGACATCCGAACCGATGACGCCTCCGCCTTCAGATCACATTGTTCACCAGATGAACATAACTCCTGAGCCGGTGCCGCGGAAGTACTCATGGCGCTCTTCTAAAGATACGATCCTCAATACAGGGGCCCCGATATCAAGATTCCAGTCGTGGCTACCAGAAGCGCGGCCAGAAGAGGATTTCGAGGGAGGACAGCAGCAGCAACAACAGCAATCTGAGCCGGAGGTCTACGGCGAGTGGGCGGACTACTACTTTGAGGACGGCAATTTCTGGGATGACTATTCGGATGGCGATGAAGAAGGGGACGAGACTAAGGTAGAGGAAGAGGAGGATGTCGACGCCGTCGAGAAGGAGGAGCAAGAAGTGAGCGACGAAGAAGACGAAAAGGAGGAAGAGAACGAGGGCCAAAAAGACCGGCTTCGGGTCGACGATGAGGAGGTTTATCCGCGTTACGAGAGTTTTATCAAGGATTACAAGAACAACGTCATGAATATCACGGTTACGGAGGTGTGAAGGTTCTTCTTCGACGTTACTTATTCGCCGATTCGGATTTGGGGAGTTTTACGGATGGGATGATATCTCAATCACCTTTCAGGGGTTTGAGACATTGTAACAGTATTGTACGACCTTGAGATTTAGTCGCGATTACCCACTCGTTATTTCGGAACAAAAACAGAGCCTTTATGATTCGTTACCTCTTGGATCGCCCTGATGCTTTGTTATCATCGACGTCTCTATAGTGTTCGTGCCACATGATATCACTCAACGCTCTTGGACTAACAACTTGAATAAAAACTGACCGAACCGCGCTAATAGGCTAAGTACAGGAACTCCATACATCATGACGGAGACTGAGAGTCTAAATACCGCAGCTAACAACAACATCTTGGGACGCCTCCATCCCCTGACTTCGGATACTACAAGGTGTTGTCTCTAGCCCCTAAGCGATACCAACATCCACCCAGCTCGCTCGGTCGAGAAAACCCCCCCATTTTCGAATTCCCGTTATGACGGAACCGAATAGCGTGACACGGTTGTTTCCATCGTCGTATTCTTGGACGTTCCCCTCCTTTCCCCCCCTAGAACCAAAAAAGATCGACGTTTTCACTCCTAATATTCGGGCTTGGGGAGAACAGGCTTATCGGGATCAACCCAGTCCGTAGGGCCCTCGATACCGGGCCTGCAGGCGTGGTGAGCCCTTTCCCACCACTGCTGGGTCCAAAAGCACGGGCGCGGCAGAAGGCCGCCCCTTCGGGTAGCTTCGTTGCAATACCTCCAGCGGACGAGGGCCTCTCTGCATAGTTTGCGCTCCGGTTGATTGCAGCACCTTCTGCGGTACCAGGTGTAGTAGGAGCGGTTTGCGTCGGCGTAGTCGACGAGGCAGAGGAGGGCTACGACGAGGAGGACGAGGTGGCGGAGTGTGATTTGCATTTTGTTCAGAGGAGTTTGGTTGTGAGTTGGGTGTTTGGTCGGTTTGTTTTTTCTGAGAGAAGAGTGATGTTTGTTTCGAGCTGAGGTATTGTGTGATTTGATCTGGCGATGTGTGGTTTGGTGGCTTGATAGCAAGAGTTTGATGGAGTAGTTGTTGGATTGAAGGAGGAAAGTAGGATGGATTGTAGAAAGCTAGGTGCTTTCCTGAAGTATGCCGACAGGAAGAGTCTTCAGAGGAAGTGGAAGCTGTGTCTAGTTTGGAGACCAAGATAGCCATTAGTGAACCCTGATGATATGATTCTACAACCTTGACGGAGCCGATGGGGAGTGTGAGGCAATCTAGGAATCCCGTGTGACTGCAGAATTAGGACCATCATGGTTGAGAGCCGTGTTAGTCCAAGTCAGGCACGGGAGAGAGTCGGGTTCTGTCCGTTCCGCCCACCGACAGGAGCGAAACAGGACGCTAGTTTCCCATACATACTAAATGAACCTGGAAGTTTGAAACTCTTAACATATTTCATCAGATAGACCATGGTTTTCTTCCACTGTTCAGGTCTCTAACACACCTACGACGGCTTCAACAAGCTCGGCCTTCCTCGGTGTATATGGCTCGGTGTGGCCCAAGCTCCAAGCTCCCAAGCTCCCCCAAAACTTTCACCTCACACTTGATGTACCCTTTCGTCTTCCTCCCACAAACTTCATCTCATCTACAAACTCCCTCACGCCATCTAGTCATCCTTTTCCCCTCATGACGCGCAATGCAGTGAGTCAGCGGCCGGAGAGAGGAAACACACAGAAAGCAAGCGTGCGCGCACCGCGGTAGATGCCTCGCCTACCGCCCTGCCTCTTCCGCCGCGCCCACGCCATCTCACCCCATGCCGCCGTCCTCCTGCCGGCGTGCCGCGATGTACCCTCCGCGGTGACCGAGCTTCGCTGGATCAGGTCGCACGTCGCAAGCAGCGGTAGACAGCCGTCGTCAAGGGCGCTTCTGCCCAGCCAAGATGAGCAAGAAGCCCGCGTCGCACGCCTCTGCGCAAAACGCGGCCGTGGCGTGCCGCTGCAGTACGTTCTCGGCTCTCAGCCCTTTGGAGCACTCGACATCAAGTGCCGGCCCGGCGTGCTCGCCCCGCGCGCCGAGACGGAGGCGTACGTGATCCATCTGGCCGACATGATCACGCTCGGCCAGCTGGATGGTTTCGAGAACAGAGAGCTGCGTGTCGTGGACTTTTGTACGGGCACTGGGTGTATCGCGCTCGCGCTGTACGAGCGTCTTACACGATGGGCCAAGAAGCTTAGCGTCACGGGCGTCGATGTCTCGCCCATCGCCGTCAACCTCTCGCGAGAAAACTTGCGGCGCAACATGGCTACGAATTCACTCATACCGCCGTCTACCGACAAGGAGGTGACTTTCCGAAAAGCAGACGTCTTCCAGGAGGCTGATATGCAGTCGCTTCAACGATGCGACGTACTAGTATCAAACCCGCCGTACATATCACGCAATGTTTGGACCTATGGTCAGGGCCAGATGGGCTACTCTGTGCGAAAGTACGAGCCGAAGCTCGCGCTCGTGCCGGGGGAGATGGTGCCCACGTATGATGGGTGTGACCATGCCGACGTCTTTTACGCTAGATTGCTCGACATTGGAAGTCGGCTAGGCACGCGAGTCTTACTATTTGAGGTGGGGGATGAGGAACAGGCTCTTAGGGTCGTCAAGCTTGTCAGACGCAATGACTTTACGAGACATGCTTTGTGCGAGCTCTGGAGGGACTGGCCAGACTTGTCGCCCGAAGAGGATGAAGTTAGTTCATTCGATGTCGATGGGGAGATGATGACTGTCAAGGGCAGCGGGAATGTTCGATCAGTCCTGATTCGTCCCTGAGACTGAGTTTCAAAAAGCTTGGATATATACGCTTTTATAATACCATCCCACGTCAGAATATGCCAAACGCTTCTTCGTTCGTCAGAGAACAAATAATAAGCAACGAATGGTCAAGAATCATCATTTTCGACTTCATAAGGAGAATCTATGGCAAAAGCAAAAGATTACTGCCCAGAGGCGGATTCGAACCGCCGTCAACACGGATCGCTGTATAGAAGAACCACAACGTATCATCCTAACCAACTAGACGATCTGGGCCAGTGGTTATTGATGAAAGCTGAGGCTTGGTGACGACCTAAGGATCACCGCGCGAGTGAGGGTGGGGTTTCTGCCGGTTTAGCGCTAGAGATCCCCTAATTTTCAGCGGTCGCTCAGCGGGCCTAACGCCTGTAACCGCTGGACCTCTCCTCGGGGCGCTCATACATGCGTGCCTTACCTGGCTCACTCCCGTCTTTGCGGTTCACAACTGACAGCTTTATTGAAGGAGACGAACACCTGAACCTGTGTCATGAAACAAGGGAAGCAACGGCGATGAAGTCATTTCCCGCGAGGAATCAGTGGTGTTTCTATTCTGATTACACAGAGACATCGTGTCTCTGCTGCCCACGGTTCAGCTGGACCCTGTGCGCCTCGAAGTGATTGAGATCAGACAACCGGGGTCCAGATGGCGTAAAGAAACATTCCAGCCATGAGCTTGATCATCAACGGTCGGTTGCGCGTGTGCAGCCGTCGGCACCCTTTGGACCCAACGATCCGGTTTGTTCCTAAAATTTTGAAATGCGCGTGAAAGCTGAAGAATTAAATGAAAGGGGTCTTCCCTTGCAAGCCACACAAAGAGACTGCGCGTCATCTGGCGACACACGCGCCATGCCGTGGTTCTTTGGAATGAGGCCGGAACGGCAGCGGGAAAGGGTCCAGATGCGATGAGTGGAATGCTGGAAACGTAGATCAGCTCCTGTCACTAAAGACAGCGTTTGAGGTTCCCTGCGACTCGAATTGATGGGGAAAAGTGAAGGCGTGGGAGAGCTGCAGCCCGGAGAATGAACTTCTTCAGGATGATCGGATTGATCTCGAAATTCAGCTTCACATGATTGCTGTATGAACGTGATCTTCTCGCGACAATCTGATACATGGGCAAACCTTTTCATGGGCGAGGAGACTCTTCGATTATGGAGACGGATCGAGGTAGAGTGCCAGGATCAAGATTTCGGCTATCTCATCACGCCGAATCATGTTGGGGGCACCGTATCTTATCCGACATCAGCTTCGGGCGGGGTATAGGCTTCGACTTCGGATCGCACTCACATCAATGATTCAGGGTTTCCCAAGACATGGCATCCGGAAAGCACGTTGTCAAACCATCTTCGCGAGCCTTGGCGAATTTGGAGTCCGGGGGCTTCATCGACTTGGAAAATGAAGCCAGCAAACTCCCGCAGTACGACCCCGCTACGTGCCCGGATGGAGTCATTGACCTCTCCGGTGCCATCAATGGTCTCATGGGCGATGTTCTGGCAGAAGAGATGAACCGATTTTCCAAGGCTTACGATTTTGTGAAAGGCATGGGTAGCTTGTAGTCTGGTTGAGAGTTTGAACTGACACGATCTTACAGCAACTCGATACGGTGATGTTATGGGACCGAAAGGTGAGTATCAAGTATATTCGAAGGCATTTTTACCGTTTGCTAATAACAAGTCGATAGAGCTAGCCAATGCAATGAGTAGCTTTGTAAATCGCTATTTCGGTCCTGTGCGGTCGGTCACATCCGATGACATACTGGTGACCAACGGCGTGACCTCACTCATAGACATGATGGCATTCGGAATGTGCGATCCAGGCGAGGGCATTATGGTCATCACTCCAACTTACGTGATGTTTCCCCACGATTTGTGCGCCAGAGCAGGCGTCAGTTTGATCAAGGTCAACCTCGAGCCTATGGAGAGCCAGTTCGACGAGAAATCTGCCCCTCTGCTAATCGAAGCAATGACCAAAGCCTACACCGCAGCTCTGGCGGACGGTATTATTCCCAAGGCCCTCCTCCTCTGTAACCCGAGCAACCCCTGCGGCCGGACCTACCCACGCACTACCCTCGTCGAGATTGCGAGATTCTGCGGACAAAAGAACATGCACCTTCTATCCGACGAGATCTACGCCATGTCGACCTTTACCGGCACAACGGACGCAGATGGACAGGCGCTTCCCCCATTCACCTCCGTGCTAAGCATACAGGATGATCCACCTCGCGGTGTGCTCGCTGAGAACATCCACTCCATGTACGGCGCAAGCAAAGACTTTGGCTGCGGCGGTCTGCGGCTCGGATTCCTCGTGACGCGGAACGAACTCCTCTGGCGTTCTCTGAGGAGGTTAGTGCTGTTTACATGGGTCTCGACTTTCTCAACTGCATTCTTCACGCACTTCTTGCTTGACGAGGAAGTCGTCGGGAGATACCTGAAGACCTACCGTGAACGACTCGAGGCGCAGTATAGGGTGACCACGCAGCTCTTGAAGGAGAACGGAATTCCTTTCGTGCCGGCCAACAGTGGGGTGTTCATCTTCATCAAGCTGACGGCTTGGTTGGATCACGGCGAGCATTCGGCTGAACGCGACGGAAGCCGCGAGACGAGACTCTGTCGATATATTTTGCATGAAGGAGGTGTCTTTCTCAGTCCTGGAGAGGTAGGTCTTTCATGTCGACTAAAACTGCAAAGAGATGACTAACACCCATACAGCTCTCCCTATCGACGGTTCCGGGCTGCTTCAGATTGGTCTACACCGAACAATGGGAATATATGCCCATAGCTATCAAACGGCTAGCAAGGGCACTGGAAGAGATCAAGCTGCGTCCTACATCACAGTCTTCTTCGTCCTCAATGAGTGGCCAAAACATCAAGGGCACCATGAATGTGGCAGAGGATCTGACGAGGGTATCATGGCGGACGTCGATTGCGCGCTCCCTGCTTTGTCGTAGAGCATGACAGTGCAAAAAGCATCTTACTCAGGATGAAGATGAGCCAACGATGACGATAAGAAGACAAAAAATAAGATGTAGCTGCTTCATGGCGTCAAAATGCAAAAGAATTGACCAGCCTGGGGGTCGAACCCAGAATCTCCTGATAACACACTTAATCGTAGTCAGACGCCTTGCCATTGGGCCAACCGGCCATTGATGAAAATTCAAGGACGGATGTGATACTTCAAGCCTGTTGCTTTAGCAGCCGGCGCGGGGCTCGAGTTCAGGACCAGTCGTGGACCAAGGGCCCTTGCCTTCAATGGAATTTGTTGTTCTACGATATTCTTAGTCTTCGCCTGCGTTTCTTAGCTGGCAGTGATAAGACTGTGAGTGCTTGCGATGTGAGAATCATTCGAAGCTGTCACTGTGGGTACCGAATATGCAATAAAGCGATCCACCCAGACAAGCACTTACTGGCACTGCAAGATCATCAATCCTCCTCTATAGCAAGAGGGAGCAAACATGGACGCATCGTGATTTGAATTTTGTATTTCGTCGAGAAATGAAAAATTGTAATCTTCTGGCTAGACATACACGGTGATGGGCACATTGCCGATCTTTCAAGATGTCGTTTCCTGACAGACCGGTCGCTCACTTGCTGGGCTCAAATGGTGAGTTGCGTCGTTTGGTCATGAAACGCATAGGCCAAGAAAAGACAAGAGTCGACTTCCTCGGCAGTCTACAAGGACCAGAGGCTGACTTCAAGCAGGACCCGTTCATGCTGTCTCATATTCAGCATCGCCAGGAACATACATCCTCACCGGTTCAGCGGACCGCAACATCAGGCTCTACAACCCGGCATCTCACAACCAGCCCCAGCGCTACGGCTCAGCCATCAACAGCAACAAGACGCCGGGAACCACTAAGCCCACCGTTCCTGAAGGCCGCCTTATTCAGACCTACACAGCCCACGGCTACGAGGTCCTCGACCTCTCCGTCTCCTCCGACAACGAGCGGTTCGCCTCCGTCGGCGGCGACCGCGCCGCCTTCCTCTGGGACGTCGCCACAGCCAAGACGATCCGCCGCTTCGGCGGCAACGCGCACGGTCATACGGCGCGCGTCAACTGCGTCTCGTTCGCCGGCGACGGGGACTCGCTCGTCATCTCCGGGGGCTTCGACACGAGCGTGCGCGTGTGGGACGCCAAATCCAACTCGGCAAAGCCCATCCAGGTTTTGGACGAGGCCAAGGACGCCATCACGGCACTCGCAGTGAGGGACGCGGAGGTCATTGCGGGCAGCGTTGACGGGAGGGTGAGGAGCTACGATGTCCGGATGGGACGTTGTGTGACGGATGTCATCGGGGCGAGCGTGACGAGCCTCAAGCTCACGCGGGACGGAAAAGCCATGTTGGTCGGATCGTTGGACAGCAAAATCCGGCTGATGGACCGGGAGAGCGGGACGTGCCTGAAGACGTACGCCGATGACGGATGGAGAAATGAAGAGTTGCGCGTGCAGGCCGTCCTCGGCAGCAAGGAAAAATATGTCATTGCAGGCGATGAGCTTACAGCCGGCACGGGACCTTCGGGTTTGAACGGTGACGGCAAGATATGGGCGTGGGACCTCTTGACGGGCAAGCTAGTCGCAACGGTCCGGGTGCCGTGCCCAGAGGGCTTCGAGCCTAAGAAGAGAATGCTAGGTAAAGATGGCAAGGAGAAGGAGAGGAGCAACGTCATCAGCTGCATGGCCTGGAGGGGCGATGGATGGGGAGATCAGTTCTGCGTCGGTGGCACGTCAGGGATAGCTACTGTCTTTGGTTCACTCTAGAAGCCATATATGATGCATCGCTATGATATAATCGCAACAGTGATGAGGTATCGTCATTCCGGACGTTCATGTATCTAACAAAATCTTCCAAATCATACAGAGTCATGTCCGTCTCTGACCCCGTGGTACTCTACACACACGCATGGATGTTCCGCAGACGCCCAACACCAATGTACCCAGATGCTTCCCTGGAAATCCCCAATCGGTGCCAACCAAAAATTACATAGAACAGCAATCGTGCTTTGAAACCACTTCGGTTGATTAGTCCATGCCGACATACTTGAACCAGTTCGGGCGGCAGTCGTCCTTGTGCAGCCAGGCCTCACCATCAGTGAAGCGGCCTGTTACGCAGCCCTTGCACTTGTTCGAATTGGGGCAGTTGAAGAAGGGAATGTGCTGGTAGCCAATGTCGCGGAACCTGGTGTATGTTAGTTGACTGATCTTCCGTATGGAGCTTTGTGAGGCTTAGCAAAACGTACCAGTGAATCTTGGACTTGTCCTCGAAAAGACCCAAAGCAATGCTGTGGACAGGAGCATCGCCCCATCTTTCGTAGAAGAAACCTCCAGCGCGGTCCAGATGCTGGAAGTAGTCCTCATACGCTTGGCTCCTCCAGAAGTCAATGTCGGCAATCTCAAAGTTGCTCCAGAAGTGACAGGTAGAGTAGCCGTTCGCATCAACATTGTTCTCGGGACGACCAGCCTTATCGGTGAGCCAGTCCATGGCGTTGTTCTCGTGGAGGTATTCGGGGTGCTGCGCGAGGAACTTTCTGGTCTCGGGCCACAACGTTGGGATGGACTTGGGCGCGTCGTACAGGTTTACGGTGAAACCATATGTCTTGTTGTTGTCCTGCATGTAGCGGAAGACATCGTAGTCAACGTCGCAAAAGAAATGGACCTTGGGCTCGACACGCCAGTAGTACTTGGTGTGCTGCAAGGCAGGGTGCCTATAAAACATGCCGCTGTTCCAGCGGCACATGGAGTGGTACGAAACCTTATCGGCGTACTGAATGTCGTTTTCCTTGAGGATCTTGACGGACTCTTCGTACAGGTCTTTGTTGATCCAAGAGGGCATCTCCCAGTGCTCTTTGGGGATGAGTTCTAACAAGTTTGATTAGCGCGAGAGTTGCGTAAGGAATCGTCGCAAAAGCTTACCGTATCTGCACTCAGCCTTGGTGGCCGCCTGAGTCCTTCTCTTGAACTCATCGCTAAAGGGAACCTCGTTGAAGAATGTCCAAGGGTAGTTGAACTTGTGGTTCCAGGTTCTCTCGAGATCGACCATTGACTGAATCATTCCATCCAATTCCTCGTTTCTGACCAGCGCCAACAGTGTGGCATTGATGCGAGCGGAGTCTTCGATGCCGGGGGCATATTTGTCGGAGACATATGTCAGAACACCTTGAGGTTCACCGGTAGCTGTGCAGAGATATCATCGTCAGCGATCTATGCGATGACTTTGTAGTAATTGCATGCGCAACTTACGATCGAGGTTGGGGTCCCGTCCATTCTCGTAGCGCACTGGCTTCTGGCTTATCGGCCTTTCGGGGCCAAAGATCTGATAAAGGAAGAAGCACCAAAGCATCACGGCGGCTAACGCCAGAGCTCGAACTGGGCGGGCGACCGCCATTTTGGCAGATGGATCGGAAGCAAGCTAGCAGTCGTGAGAAGGATGTGGGAAGGCGGAGGTATCTCGACAAGTCCAGCCGTCGAGCGATGGCAGATTCGACGTTTGCGCAAATAGTCAACGGCTAGCGGAAAAGCCAGGTCGTCGAAGTCGATCGAGTGGTGGGAGATTTCTCGGTCGCGGCTCGTGCCGTCGTTTTTTGAGGGCCGTTCGGTGGTGTGGAAGGGAGATTTGTTGACCACTAGGCCAGATTGAAGAGTGACGCGTAAAAAATCGGAAAAGGGGGCGTCGATGGCAGTTGTCCCAGGTCGTTGGATGCTTGAGGCTTGATGTCACCCCGTGAAATTTGCCAATTAGCGTCTTGCATTGGGGGAACCAAGGACCTATGGGCGCTTTGTCCAGCTGTCGCACCCCTGTAATCAGCGATAAGGGAGGATCGGTACCCCCGCGCGCCCCTCTATTCGGCCAGCATCCCAACACCACCTACGCACCAGATGGCTGTCGCGTGTACTTGCGACAAGCACTTCTACAACGCGTCTCTTGACGATGCCGGCAGATTAGCTCAATGCCGACACATGGCCCCCTGTTTCTCATGACCTGACTTTGAAATCCCCCGCCTGGCCACTTCCGACGACAAACAATGGCATTCGCTGCAAAGCTCGGCGCCCTGACCGACGAGCTGGTCGAGGTTATCACATCGACACCGGACAAGGTGGGAGACGGTTCATCCCATCTTGCATAGGCATACACAATGCAATGCAGCTCGGCCCGTCGCTAACACCAACGGCAGCACATCAGTCGAGAGCGCTTCAATTTATTGCGCGAGTCTTCTCATCGCAGTCTCAAGCATCACAACTTCCTGCGCACCAATCAATTCGACGTTGACAAGCAGCTTGTCGGCCTGGAGGAGCGATTTAGGGTCCACCATCGTGAAGGCTTGGCAGATGCCTTCAAGGAGCGGCTCGATGCGTTATCAGAATTCCGAACGAAGTGGCACCCCGACATCCTTCATTTTCTCCTCGAGCTTTCCGATAAGCCAACACAGAAAACCCGACTCAGCGACCTAGAACTCCTTCAAGAGCCCGAAAAAGACCTCGAACCGCCGCTTAGATGGGAAGACATCGCGAAAGAGGATGGATGGCACGAGGAAGCCGATATATGGAACTCCATCGACTACAGCGATCACTCTGGCGATGAATATGGCGAGGCCAAGTCAGATACATCAAGTGTATCTGATGAGACATCTCTCTCAACTCTGGATACATCAGTTGGCAGGAGACCGGAGGCTTTCGAGATTGCCTCGTCTGACGAGGCAGCCCTCAAGGTCGTTAAGGATAGCCAGGCTTGGAGGGCGGAAGGCAAGAAGACTGCATCTTCAGCCCGACCGCAAAAGGTCGCCATTACAGAGTTCCAGGCGATGAGAGAGGCCCTCTTCATGTTACAAGGCCTACCCACGACATTGTTCCAGAAAGATGGTCTTGCCGACCCGGCGTACCAGATATCCAGTCTTGAATGGGATACACACAAAGCACTTGTGAGCAGCTTCGCGGAAAGCGGGCGCCAAGTTTCCCAGATACGGACTTTCTCGAAGAGACCCCAAACAGCGCCTCTCTTCCAGGTTTTCCGTGACAATGTCATTGCCTGTCTGCAGTCCTTTGACAAAAGATTGTCCAATATTCAGAGTAGTCTGGCAGTGGCGCGGGAAGATACAGTCATCAGCATGGCAGCAGTCCTGGAGGAACTCAGACCAAGGATGGAACCTTTAGGATCTCTCTCGGAGATTATAAGACAGCTGTACGATCCTGCGAATGGTGGAGCGTTTCGCTTTCTCGAACTTATCTACGATGAAATTAGCAGAGCCCAGCTCTCAGGCCGCGATTCGACTTATGACCTCCTAGGTCGAATATTCTTCAACTGTTTTCAAGTCTATCTCCGACCAATTCGACTTTGGATGTCAGAGGGGCAACTCGTGCCAGGCGATAAGATCTTCTTCGTGTCTGAGTCGCCAACCCAGGTTCCGCTCCGTCAGGTCTGGCAAGAACAATTTAAAATGAGGCGAACATCAGAAGGGGTCTTGCATGCGCCCAGCTTCCTGCAGCCAAGTGTTGGCAAAATCTTCACGGCTGGGAAAAGTATTGTTGTTCTCAAACATCTTGGAAAATTTGATGCACTTCGTCAACTCTGGGATGATCACGAACCCGCTTTAACATTCGAAGCGGTCTGCCCACCAGGCCTGGAACTTGCACCATTCCCCGAGCTATTCACATCGGCCTTCACTCTATGGATGCAGAGCAAATATCATGCGACCTCGGAAACCCTGAAACAGGCGCTCTTTGACTCTTGCAACCTGGAGTCGAATATTGGCGCACTGCATCACCTCTTTCTCATGGCTGACGGAGCTGCGGCTGATGAATTCTGCAAAGGCATTTTCGCCCGGCTAGATGCCCTCAGGCCCGATTGGCATGACCGATACTCCTTGACTGGTTTGGCTCAGGAGGCATTTTCGCCACGAGTTGATACCACCCGCCTCTTCGTCACTGTCCGGATCGAAGGCCAGAAGAAATCTGTTGTCGCTGGTCGCGATCTCATCCGTACGGCCTTGCCAGAAATCACCCTCCAGTACCGTCTTCCCTGGCCAGTGCAGCTCGTTGTCACCGAAGACACAGCTGCTCAATACCAAGCAGTTTTCACATTTCTCATGCAAATCAGACGCGCCATCGGCCTCATCCAACGCAACCGGATCCTCGACGAGCTTGCTTCGAGAAGCGATGTATGGGGTAGCAAAGCGCTATACTACTTGCTCCGCTCGAAGTTGATGTGGTTTTGCAACTGCATCCAGACATATCTGGCAACGCTGGTTTTAGCTCCTTACACAGAATCCCTCCGCTGGAAAATGCGAGCGGCCTATGATGTAGATGCCATGATCAGGCTTCACGAAGCCTTCGTGAAGCAAGTTATCGACGCTGCATGTCTCGGCAGAAAACTGGATCCCATACGCAGTGGCATCCTAGACATCATGGACCTAGCCGCGAAACTTGAGGACGCACAAAGCGCTAGCGTCGCCGAGGAGGCTGAGGAACAACAGGAGCTATCCCGTCTTTCCATTATGTCCTCGCCGATGAAGGCGAGTCCCCGCCGTCGAAAACCGGCTGTCTACGCCGAAGACAGTGACGCCGAAGGTGCGGAGCGTGTCGGGACCAGAACCAAAAGGGGTGCGATTAATGCAGGCAAGGGCTACCTAGAATGCTTGCGGGAGATTAAGACAGACTTTGAGAGGCACCTAAAGTTCATTTGTGGGGGCCTACGAGGGGTTGCCAGGGCCTCAAGCGACGAGGCGGCTGTGAAATGGGACCTCCTGGCTGAAATGCTGGAGGTGGGTGTCAAGGAGGGCGCTTGAGGGCTTTGCCAAGTTGGTAGGAACGGCTGGCAGAATTGAGAACTTGGTCGTGGAGACCCGCAAAACCATTAGAGTTTACAGAATTCCGGAAAAGGATAGGGATCGACATGGGATTCCTTGATTCCCATGCTCCTGTCGAACCGCCGCGCCAACGCCAACTTTTTCCCACTGCAGATGGGTCCTGCAGCAGATTGAAATTATTGAAATCCTGCAGAGATGATCAAATTGACTTGGTGGGCGGTCAACAGCAACATGAGACGATGCTCGGTGAGTGCCGCCACGAAACGAGGTTTCCTGAACCGTATCGTGCGATGCCTCGACGATACCTTACAGCAGACTTGAGCTTCAACCAACTGCTCCTAGGTGTTGCATCTGATGAGCTGATTCGATCACTTAGTCTACCTTAGTTGGCTGCGGTCCCTGAAAAAGAGACGACATCGTTCGCATAAAGGTGTGCTAGGCTGCTAGTGTGGTGATTCATGATTGCTAGCGTAGACCCTTGGGGTCGCAACCACGAGACTGCTCGTGCCGGAACCGACGGGAATCACAACACCACCACGGTGTTCACGATGCCGCCCGACGTGCGTCCTCCGGCGGTGTCGAGGCAAGATGCACTTCGTGACCCTGCCCGCCAGGGGACGGGGTTCACTGATGCCAACTTTTTCCTCTCCAGTCAGCCTCGAACCTTGGAACGAGCAAGATCGACAGTGGGGCCCCAACGGTTGTGACCGGAAGCCAAGGGTCCCTTACAACGATTTTGGAACCAGAGGGGGTGTGAGTGTGTTGTGTCGATGCCGACTAAGGCGCCGACTGGCGAGCGGGTGAAAGACCTGCCGACATGTAACGTCTCTTTACTCCGTCGACGTGCCCCCGCGCGTTTCCCTTGCGGAAGTCCATGATCCGTCTACGGTGGCCGTCCACGTTTTGAGTTGAGTGTTGCGTTGGTGCCCGAGAGTATCCGTAAGAGCAAGGAACTGGGAAAGAGAGCCCAACTCGGGAAATTGAAGCTCAAGCCAGGGTGCTCGTGATCAATTCTAGACTCTGCTGGAAGGTGGACCTTGGTTCTACACGTGTGGACAGGGAAGGTTGTTCGCGCGGGTTTGCTGAGGCTCGTCAGCGGTTGTTTCCGAGAACTTCACACGGTCTTTCAGGGCTGGCAGCATGATCTTGGCCGGTCTACGGAGTAATCCATTTTTACACGGCAGTCGAGTAGCCAAGAACTAACAACAGCAATGTATAGCCTTAAACCTCCTCGGTCGTGATCATGGAATTGGCCTTTTAGAAACATCTCGCGAATGAGTTGAAGATACTGGTGCTTTGATGAGATTCTTGGCAGGAATGGTCACATGTGAAACGGTTTGAAAGAAACGGAAGTTGAATATTGTGCGAACATGACCGTAATCATTGACCGGGTGTTTTATTTCGCCGGATTCCCGATACGGCACGGCGCCCCACCATCAGTGACATCCGCCACAGCTGCACGGTTTGCCTACGAGATATCAACACCTCCAAAAAGTTTCACGACAACCTCAATTTCACCCACAATTACGCCTACCGAACCCGAAACTATTGTCGTATAACCTTGCGGAAGCCCATAGCTCAAAATGTCTGAACGAAAAGTGCTCCAGAAGTACTACCCCCCGGATTTCGATCCCTCCGCCCTTACGCGCAAGCGTGGTCCCAAGCAGACCGGCCCCAAGGTCCAGACCGTCCGTATCATGGCGCCCTTTTCGATGAAGTGCACGACGTGCGGAGAATACATCTACAAGGGCCGCAAATTCAACTCCAGAAAGGAGACGAACCAAGCAGAGCGATACCTCAACATCCAGATTCACCGCTTTTACCTGAAGTGCACGCGGTGCTCGGCGGAAATCATCATCAGGACCGACCCCAAGATCGCCGACTACGCCGTAATCAAGGGCGCGATACGGAACATGGAGCCCTGGCGCAACAAGGAAGGCGAGAAGGAGAGCGTCGACGAGAGGCTGGACCGGTTGGAGCGCGAGGAGGCTGAAGCCGCGGGCGAGGAGGAGAAGAACGCGATGGCGGACCTGGAGGCCAAGAACGAGGACGCGAGGCTGGAGATGGCTGCCGCGGACGCGCTCGACGAGATCCGCCAGCGTAACGCGCGCATCCAGCGGTCTGAAAAGGACGGCGTGGATTTCTCCGAGTACGTCGTCAGGCCCGAGGACGAGGAGAGAGCTAGACAAGAGAAGGAGGACGAGGAGGCTGCGCGGAAGGCTTTCGCTGCTGCGAGGGAGAGGCTTGGAGAGGAGATTATCGACGACGATGAGTTTGACGAAGGAGTCATTGGTGGACCATCATTGTCCTCTTCCTCCTCCTCATCATCGGCGGTGGTAGCGTCATCCTCAACGTCGGGGGAGAAGTCTGCAGCGGTGGAGACCGTGAGGGATACTTCAATGATGCCGCCGCCACCGCCTCCCGCCAAACGCGTGGTGAAGAAGAAGAAGGATTACTCTGCGGCGCTTGGCATCAAAAAGAAGCCTTCACTGGTCTGAGAGTTGTGTGCGATATGGGAATAAAAGCCAGGGCGTGGCTGCAGCGACTTTTTCTTCGTTTCCCTCCCCCTTGACTCTTTGTCACTGCCCACCTGCATCACCACGCAGGGGGAATGGAGAGCAGCTGCACGTCATTCTTTCCTTTCATATCATGAGCAGGGCTGTTGTTTTACTTGGTGGTAAACTTTAATCTTTGGGCATGGCGTTTCGGAAAACGGAGGTTTACCGCACAGACTCTTTTCCCCAGGGTACATAATCAAGGCATTGGGTGGACAGACGGTTGATGGCGTAAGGGTACACGTACAAGGACAATGTAAGGTACTCGACGAATGTTGAACGATCAAAGGCAACACCGACAGAAGGGGCCGAAGCCCACCCCCATCCCCCGCCTCTCGTTCTATCTCCCTTTGACTTTTCGTTCTTCGGACGATGAATACCTAGCAAAGTAATTAAACTCTAGCCGTCCAGCATTGTTGAGACGTCACTTTCGACCGTTCCCCCTCCTCCCCCTCGCTTTGCACGTCACACACCTTCTTCCCCTTTGCTGTGTTCTAGATGTTCCTGGGTCGTCTGTGCTTTTTTTTTTTTTTTGCGCAAGCCCCACTGTCGATCTTTCACCTTGACAGGTCCAGCGCTGCGAAAGCTGTTGCGTATGTGTGCGAGTGCGGCGCGTGTGTGTGTTGAGCTTGGGAATAGACTCCAAGGTTTGGTGAGGCAACTGACCTCTTGGCTATCTCTCTCGGTGGGTTTCTTCTTTGATTGTGCGATTCAAGATTTTGGGTGCCTGGACCACGTCGATCGTGGCAGGGTTGGTGGATCTAAGTAGAGATGGAGAGGATGGCCGCCCTTTGGGGAGTGTGTGCTGGAAGTGGTCGCAAGTTCTAGATGGTGGATGATTAGTATCGTCGGAAGCGAATGTTGTATGAATTTGAGAAGAAATCGTCGTATATTTCTTCGTGTTATTCAAGATATTAGTAACAGACTTTAGCTTGAAAATATTGTATCAATCGAATGCTGGCTGGAACGCATGAGATATAAAATAGGGTGATTGTGAGCAGGTTCGAGTCAATTATGTGGTGTGAAGATAGTAAGATGTCACAGCTGATGAAATTGCAAATCATTTTGTAGCGATTGTAAAGATTTATTCGTGCTTTATCATAATCATGGATAGTCAACCTCGACGTCTCGAGGTAAACTGCCCGATATCCTCCAAACCACCAACGCCTGGGGATTTCTCCTCATAAACAAAACCCGCCATTGTAAAACAAGTTCTCTCGCGCCAAATGCTAATGTTGCCGTAATTCTGATCCCATCGCGCTAGTATCGTGCTAGACCGAACAGATTCTGTTGTCTGCTTTTCGCAGTCGCTGAAAGAGAGGCTCTCAAGCCGGATGTAATGACCAGAATGATGAGCCGAAGACCCGTTGAAAAGGGTCAATGAGTGAAATAGCCATTATGATTTATCGAATATGTATTAATACGATGAGTCGTGGCTGGATGAAGAGTGATGAGAGTTGTGAGGGTAACTCGTGCGGCCACCGGATCTTCTGGTAGACGAACGGTTGGCAGCCTCCATCTGGCGCTTGGTGTGTTGGTGCATCGAGCGCATGTAGGTGGAGAGATCTGATGGAGGAGGAGGAGAGACAGGGATGGAGACGGAGTAGGCGTCCTGGCGAGCGGGCATGGTGGAAGGGCTCATGGAGACGGTTTAGATGAAATATGTGGTGTTGATTGATAGTAAGCCGCTGATGAGAGGCTGAGGGCGTGTGAAGAGTAGTTGTGGTTTTGGTGGGTTGCTTCGATAGACGAATGTGATGGAAGAGCTAGGTAGATATAAAAGTATTGTAGATGTGTTTAAGAACGGTGTGAAGTTGTTGTTATTGTAGCTGGATGCTGATGAAACGGGCTTTCAAGAAACGGTGGATGGCAGGAATGGTCCTGGGTTTATAAAAGAAAATAAGAGGGGCGAAAAGGGTCGCTGCAAGGCTTGTCGTGGAGAAGAGGTGAACACAGACGTAGGGAAAGTTGGGCGGACGGGGTCGTGTGTGTGGTGGTGGTGAGCACGCCGCCCATCAGGCAAAACACAGGGTCCTCCGTCACTAGCGGTTGTTGCAAGCTATGGGACCTACGCTAAGGTACACCCCCCCTCCCTTTCTCTCGAGGGGGTCCTGAGTGTGGGAAGAGACGAGATTGAGCAACGCAGACTGAGCAGCTTTTCCCACGCACAGAGAGTGAGAGAGAGAAAAGCAGGCACCGTTCCTTTCTCCTCACCCCCTCATCCCTCCCACTCAGCAAAGAGGAGCTGTTGCATATCCCGCCTACGCTCAATCCGCTAGGGATCGGCAGTGATTGACGGCGTCTTAGCGTTCTGCTGTACCCCCGGGTGAGGCCTGCACGATATGGCGTAACTGGACCGGGGGTCGAGGCGCAAGGGGCCAATCAAGCAGACCTCGCCCACGGCTGGGTTTATTGCCACGGACAGGGCTGATGATGCAGTAAGCGGTACGGTGATACACTGCAGGGCACAAGAGAGGTGGTAGCGGTGGTTTGCGGGTGCGGGAGGCGGTCGAGAACGGAAAGACCCTGCTGATCAGTTGTCCACACCGAAAGTCACCGGGCATGTCTACCGGTACCTACTGGCCACACATTCTCACGCATGCCTATGAAGCACAGCTTGTTCCCTCTCTGCCTCTCGCGCTTCTTTGGAGTAGCTGTCGACATGTCAGAATACCTGCCCACCCGAATCTCGAACAAAGTCAGCGACGATCAGTCCCCTCTCCATTTCGCTTTCCTACCCTCGGAGGTTCTGGACCGGCGGACGGGGTGTGGAGCTGGACGGGAGACCCTGAGAAAAAGAGGCTTGAGGGGTTCTGATCCATGTTCCATCAATACGTCGAGATAGACATGGCCAGACTGCAAGCGAATAGGATTGTCTCGAACATCGTGCCCATCCCGACGCCAAAGGCTCAAAGGTGTGTTGGACCCTTGATTTTTGGCCACCCTATGACCTTACAGGAGGACTGCATTATCGAAAGCTTGAAACCTCCCCCAACTCTGATGGAGGGTCGGCATGTTCGTTGTACGATTGTGCTGCCACGGCTGCATGGTACGTCTATCCCATCCAGGTCCAGGGGAAGCAAGCAAGCTCGCGGTCAGGTCGCCATCCGCAGGCAAGCAGCTTGCGCGAACGAACGACGATGAGGGTCCAGGCCGGGGGGTCACAAGCCAGCCAAAAAGAAGCGTGTTCACATTAAAGACAGGCGCTACTGGCACTTGACCAGAGCTGCCCTAGTCAATAGGTCAATGACGGGAAAGAAATGGGTGGTAGTAAGTCTTGTCTTGTTTAGAGTAGCAGGAATGTGGTGTAAGGGAAGTGGAAGGTTGGCAACGGCGCGGCCAAGCAGTAGCCAAGCAAGACTTGTCGTCAAAGATCGGCGGGTGGAGCAGACGTCATTGGCCGAAGCGTCTGCGTCGGCCGGACCCCGGGTGTGAACGTTGTTGCCAGTGGGTCCGTCCAGTGTCCCACCTTCCTTCTTTTTGGCCCTGGTCGTCCGCCGTCGCCCTGAACCTTTCGGGCAGTGGAGACTTCACCTTCTTGACCTTTCACCACCACAACTACAACTTGGCGTCCCTGGTCTGTGCCGGGGCGCGGACACCATGCCGTCAAGGCAGAAGGCACGGATCCCAAACAAGAGTGTGGAAGGCTAGCCGCCAAATCTGAAGCCATTCAGCAACTTTTTGGAACTGCTACCTCACGGGTCCCCACCGTCTTTGAGGGCTATCATTGGTTTGATCCTCGTGTTAGTGGGAATACTGTCCAGATCGTGACCATGCTTGCCCAAGGGCCAGGGACGTACCTGTAGGAAATTCCCATGATGCCCTCATGTCCACCATCCTCCGTCGGCATGGGAATTTGAGAAATTTGCCATGGCGGCGAGACTGACTTCGGCACTCTTGGGCCTCAATTTCCCATTCCCCCCTCCTCTAAGAAATGATGAGGATGAGAATTGCCCCCTTCTCCCCTCCTTCGGTGGCAACCCTATTCAGCAGAGGCCTCTGCGCTGATTCCCATGATTCCCGTGTCAGGGGCATCTTGACGTGCGGCGTGCCCCATCACGCCCTCCCACACTTGACCTGGTCCCACCGGGTCTTGCCCATGCCGAAGCTATTCAGAGTTGAACACTGAGCCAGCAAGATGCCAAGACCAACAACAAGGAAGCTTCGAACAAATTTCGGCCCTCGACATCACGGAGCCGGGTCACGGAGGAGCAGACAAGGTTCATTGAACGGTAGGCCGCATTCGGTCTTGATCTGACCCTCACCGAGAAATTGGAGACATTTCTCTTCGGGTGAGAGATTTACCAGGGCGTCAGGGGTCTGCGAACTAAAGCTCCGATATACGCTGGGGTTGAAAGGCCGGGGAGATCTGACAAGAAAGAATACACACTCTGTCGCTAAAGGAAAGCAACCGAAACGGCGGGTTTGCGCGTTTGGAAGCTATGTAATGGCCCAGAACCTCATTGGAGCATGGATGGCCTCCCTCGACCGTGGCGAGACAGCTGTGACGGAAGATACGCGATACGCAGTAAACCGTAACGTAAGATAGACGGCCGGGGGGATCGCGAGAGGGATGGATGCCCTCATGGGGGGATGGAGGATGGACCATGGATGGATGCATGTGGTCAGGACGTATCCGTAGCGACGGACAGACCTCGAACCGGCCGTGGCTTGTGGGAGTGGTATCCGTAGGCAGACGACAGAAATTCAGACTTTGGGGCTGGCTGGATGGGACACACAGACGTCAAGGCTGACGGAAGGCAGCTCTTCCTTCCTCTCAGTTTGTTCGGCCTTGCCTCAGTTTACGTCGTTGGAGCTCTTTGGAGGTTGGTGTGTCGTCAGGTCTTGCCAATCAAGTCTCGTGTGAAGTCACGCTGCGCCACTAACCCGGCGCCCTATGATGTCACTCGCTGCTCTTTCACCCCCTGGTCCGACGGTCGGATCCCCCCCTGCTGTTCGCTTTAGTCAACCAATCAAAACGTTGGAGCGAGCGTTTTCTTCCATCTTCTCCCCTTCCTCCCTGGTAACGTTTTGACGAGCTGTTCCGTCACACACACCACAAACACGCCCCCCTTTTCACCCCAAAGGCTCAAACGCTGGTCCATTCCGTCAGAGGAAGGAGTGATACGCGCGACGACCTCATAGCACCACAGACAGCACCACAACTTACGTCTTTCTACGTCTCTTTACGTTGACAGCCCGCTTAGACCGAGTTCCACGAGGCGGAAAGAAACCCTCTTCTCTCTCAGATCTTCAAAGATTTGCACGTTTGCTAGCTAGAATGCGGCTCCCGTCTCGCTTCGTTCCAGCATTGCTGCATCGTCTGTCATGCACACCTAGCTGCTATTAGAGCTAGATTCTTTTTTCTCTCTCTTCGCATCGCCCCTTGCCACAGCTTCTCTCATCATCGTGCGACCCTTACGACGGCTGACAATGAAAAAAAGCCTCCCGTCCATACTATGGGAGCACCCATGAAGCAGTTCCCGCCACCTGCATCATACCATGACTATCCACACTCTCCATGAGCTCCGTTCAGCCTCGAATGGAGACACAGGCCCGCGCCAAGGTTCCAGACCCTGACTCTTGTCTGACCTGGACCACAAGAAAGAAGGAGAGCTCACATACCTCAAAGTGATATGAACGAAACTGTTTCTTTGCGCGACCGTCAAAGGTATGCCATCACACGTGATGACGCCATGCCTCTCACCTCACCTCATCTCTACCGGCCGCTATGCCCGAAGAGCTGGCACACACAATCAGATCTCAATCCTCCTACTTTGGGCGGATGGTCGTCTGTGACAGCATATCGGTACTCAGCGACGACCCCTGAATTACAGCTGGCAAACATGTACTAGCTAGGAGGGTTGCTTTCGCCCCTGCGTCCTCAACTCTCGGCCACGGTAGGAGCCGTCCCAACGGCTGGACCACGCAGTATGATCAAATGGCCCGCATAATGACATCGATCTCGCCTGCGATGGGCCCTTGATGGGGGCCGAGGGGTCGTGGAGGTCTGGGGAATCATCCTCTGAAACGTCATGAATGATGTTATACTACCTCTAGAGAATGGTTTCCAATGGGACATCTATTGCTTCCTTTACGCCTAGAAAGAATTGTCGGCCGACGCCTCGTCCACAATGACGAGCCCCTACTTCGAGTCCCCGATCCACCGTGAGAGTATCAAGGTCCACGCACCCTCAAACCTAGCGGTGATAGTCCTCCTAGACTCGAGCATCACCGAACTGCCTGATGGAGGCCAGAGAAGATAGCAGCACGCCATGTCCTTCTCTTCTTCTGCTCCCTTTGATCCCCGAAACCTCTCTGACCGTCCCGGTGCCTTCCCCCGCCACTCTGCGGCACCTCTGCGTCCGAATTTACTGGGGCCCGAGGGGTTTGAACTTGTCGCCCAACGAGATCCTCGCCGCTAACCGTCCCGGTAATGATTGGCTGTCGCTGAGCTCTTCGGCGATCCTCCGTCATCCTGACGGCCGTTCCGACTTCTCAGGCTCAACCTTCTCTGCGATGTTGAAGCTTGCTCGTCAACCACGGCACTCGGTCAGAGTTGGACAGGCATCGAGCATCGAGCGTCTTTTGCATCTCAATACTGAACATCGAGATCGAGATACGGCCGCGGTCGAAGTAGAGTTGTTGGTCGATGTCTGTTTCGCAGCAAAAGGGGTCTGTGGCGGTTTACCCGTCTTTCTACTATACCAGATCAGCATCGGGGACTTCTGGATCTTCAGTCTCTCTCCTTGTTATGATCCATAGTACGTCACTATCACGCCGGTTCAGGCCAAAACGTAGGGTGAATTCAGCGTGGAAGAAAAAGTTTCGATGGAGGAGTGCTCCATAATCACTGCCCAAGACTTCTAAAATCCTACCCGACGTGTGTGTCACACCGTGCCGGTCAGTGAATCAGTGCTGGTGTAAGTGTAACCCAGAGGACCTCATGGTCCTACTAAAGGACGCCTGTGCCGTCATTCTGGCCATCAGATCCAGATATATTTGATCATGACAGTGGGTGTCGCCCAGCGCAGGAGTGGTCGTGGTGACTCGTGATTCCTTCGTCGTGGGTTAACCCTCGTAATCTTACCATAGGATTGCTTGGAGCAGTCCTTTGAGCCATCTAGAGTGTTGTTCTTTCTGTCAGGGAGACCTATGGCGCTCTGTCCAGTGGATTTCAACTCACATCAAATCGTCGACCTTGACGGCATTTCGACAAAGCAATGGTGGTATGCTTGCCTATCTGCTCTTTGAAAAGCACGCGAGCGTGGCGGTAAAGCTGGCGGGTCGTCCTGTTTAAATCGCCACTATCTTCATACCCTGGCGGCCGTACCCTTATTGTGAGGGATTTCACTCAAGGTCTGGGCCAAGTGAGTACATCACGAGAGTAATTTTGCTC